AAAAAACATAAAATTTCATGCGACCCTGCTCTGATCTAATCCTTCTCTGATCTAGGTGATTGAATTTTTTTTGGTGATTGCAGGAACCTTGGTAACCTTGTGAGAACCTGGCGGGAACCTTGTGGGGCAAAGTTGCGGGAACCTTGTGGAACAAACTTGTGGTAACCTTGTGGAACAAAACTGTGGGAACCTTGTGGGAACGTTGGAGCAAAGCTGTGGGAACCTTGGGGGAACCTTGTGGAACCTTGTGGAAACCTGGCGGGAACCTGGCGGGTACCTTGGGAACCTTGTGGGAACCTGGCGGGAACCTGGCGGGAACCTTGGAACCTTGTGGGAACCTTGGAAGAACCTTGCGGGGCAAAGTTGTGGAACGATGTTGCGGGCACCTTGGGAGCCTTGTGGGGCAAAGTTGTGGGAACCTTACCTTGCAAAAAAGTTGCGGGAACCTTGTAGAACCTTGAAGCAAAATGGGCAAAGTTGTGGGAAGCTTCTGGGAACCTTGCGTCAAAGTTGCGGGAACCTTGCGCGAACCTTGGATCAAAGCTGTGGGAACCTTGGGGCAACCTTGGAGCAAAGTTGTGGGAACCTGGGGCGCTTTGTTGGAAACTTGTGAAGCAACATTGTGGGAACCTTGGGGGAACCTTGTGGGGGAACCTTAGGGGGTGCCTTGCAACAAAGTTGTGGGAACCTTGGAGCAATCTTGTGGGAACCTCGGAGCAAAGCTGTGGGAACCTTGGGGCAACCTTGGAGCAGCAAAGTGGGCAAAGTTGTGGGAAGTTTCTGGGAACCTTGCGGCAAAGTTGCGGGAAGCTTGTGGGAACATTGGAGCAAAGCAGTGGGAACCTTGGAGCAACCTTGGAGCAAAGCTGCGGGAACCTTGGAGCAAACTTGTGGGAACCTTGGGAACCTTGGGGGAACCTTGTGGGGCAAAGTTGTGGGAACGTGGACCAAAATTGTGGGAACCTTGTGGGAACCTTGGAGCAAAGCTGTGGGAACCTTGCGAACCTTGGGGGAACCTTGTGGGGCAAAGTTGTGGGAACCTTGTGGAACAAAGTTGTGGGAACCTTGTGGAACAAAACTGCGGGAACCTTGTGGGAACGTTGGAGCAAAGCTGTGGGGACCTTGTGGAACAAAGTTGTGGGAACCTTGGGAACTTTGGGAATCTTGCAGGAACCTTGGGAACCTTGTGGGAACTTGGCGGGAACCTTGGAACCTTGTGGGAACCTCGTGGGAACCTGGGGGAATGTCTTTGGGAGCTGCTCCGGCTTGCTCCGAAACCTTTACTATGGCTGAAGACCCCAAAGCATGCTGCTGTTGGGGAAAAAAAGCAACTCAAAAACTACCCTGGATTTCATCTGGAAATCTAGACCGCACTGTGCTCACATCACTCTGTCAACAAAATCCTCAGGTGTCAGTCGCGTTGGCTTCGGAAATGCTTGCGCGAGGAAACAGGATACAAACCATCAGCGCACACGACTGTTGTTGCGCCATGCTGCGGCTGGATGCTGCTGGCGCCAAATGCAAGCCGGCAGTGTCCACAAAGACCCAAACATCGGGTTCCGTTTGACGTGCGTGCACCACCAAAGACCTTAGTGTCACAAGTGCGCCCAACGCGCCTTGAAACACACATGTTCAGAATTGATACGACTTAGGTGTGTGCGAGCACATGCAAGAACGGTGAAATCTGAGCCAAGTGACCGATCAGGTGGATTGTTCACCACAAATTGTCCAGCGCTAACCTCATAGGTTTCTCGCCATCGCTGAGCCCAAAATTTTGGACCGAGTGACTGCAAGTGCTCTAGAGACTTAATCTGTACAGCCCATATATATATATATATAGAAATATATACATAGGTATGGTTTAGGGCTCCTTGTGGGCACTCGCAAAAGGACGTTTTTCCCTAAGATGCAGTGCAGTGTGGAGTTTTCTTTTTAAAAACTACAGTATATATATGTATACACATATATGCGATCTCTAAATAAGTAGTTTTCCTTTATGCTCACAGTTCTTTTCCATCTGCTGCAGGATGGGTGGTGTTTTTTATGCGTCAGGTTCCTTCTCAAATGCGGCAGGATTTTTTTCGTGTGCGGCAACAGTCGCTTCGTACGCACACAGTTTCTCCCCTTATGTGTGGTGCCAAAACCAAATGGATTCATGGAAATAGGGAAGTCCTACATTGTTACGTAACACCCGCTTACCATGGAAAAAACAGGAAACAAACGAAAAGGACAAAAAGCCTCCAGCCGAGTGGCGGTGGCCTCCACCCTAGTGGCGGGACGGGAAGGGCGTGGATGGCAATAAGGAGTGTTTCTGAAAGGGTCACTTTTTGGACCGCGACCCTACCGAGGGGTCTTCTCCCCAAATCCGGCCCTTGTGGAACACTACCTTGATGTATGGCTGTAGCCACGGATTGTGTTCGACGGGTGCCCTTGCAGAAGGTTCTGCTTGATTAAAGAAACCATTGGCATACAGGAAAGAACTGTCGGTCTGTCGGTAAAAGAAGATTTTCTACTCATTCTGTTTGACGGGCACCTTCCACAAGGCATCTGTCACAAGGATTCTGACGGGCGCTTTCAGAAAGGAACCTGTGTTTGACGCGCATCTAGCCAAGGATTCTTTTCGATACGCCCCCTTGCAGAGGGATTCTGTTTGACGGCCACTGTCCGTCTGTTCGACGGGCCATGGGTGCATTTCACAAAGAATCTGTTTGACGGGGATCCTTTAACAAGGATTCTGTTCGACGGGTCCTTTCAGCAAGGATTCTGTTGGGCGGCCACCGCCGACGCCTCCCAGCATAACAGAAAGAATCATCGGCGTGATTCTGTTTGACGCACGCCTCTATAGCCAAGGCTTCTGTTGGACGAGCCCCCTTGCAGGAGGATTTTTGTTCGGCGGCCACCATCGACACCTCGGCCGACACCTCCCCGCATACAAAAAGGAACCGTCCGCATAAGGAAAGCAACCATGCGCATACAGGAAGAACTCTCAGTAAGGAAAAAGCACTACGAGCCTACGAAAAACACCAGCAGCATCGGAAAAAGCGCCTAGAGCATAGAAAAGAACACCCATAGGAAAAACACCTGGAGCATTAAAAAAAAACAGCACATATATATATATATATATGAGACGCGTTAACAAGAAGATGATGCTTGAGGTTTTGACCCGCTGCCCTTTCTTTCATTATATAAATGGGTCGAAGAGCTTTGGCCGGAGCGATGACCTTTGCAGGCCAACTGTGGGCACCAAACAAAGGAAAGGAGCACCTCGACAAAGCCACCCAATTCATACTGGTGTCAAAGCACGTTGCACAATGCATAGCTGCATGGCTGCTTTATGCTTCTTTGCTGAATTTCTTATGACTTCGGGAAGACTCCATGTGCAAAGCAAGAAACATGAGCGCAAATGCACGAGTCATACGTTGAAGTTGTGGGATGAGTGGACCAAATTCGGAACGCATCTCATCCACCTACAGGGCCAGGCGCTTCTTTGCACAAGGCACTGCTTCTTAGTGCTTGGATCCGTGCAGTCCTTTTGGAGTCTTTCAGGACTTAAATTGGGAGGTGGTGTGAGCAAATCGACCGTTTGGGATACTTTGGGCAACATGAAAAGGATGAGTAAGGATAGCTGAAAGATGGTTGTCTGACGAGAACGGCAACAAATCCTTTCTTCATAAGTTATTGGCCTCCTATGCTGTTTTGCCTTAAAGCTCCTTACGAAGCTGATCTGTGCGGACAACATAATCAAGTGAGGAGTCTGGCTGGGGCATCACACGTCGTCAAATCATATCGCAGGTTTTAAGGCAAGCTCAACAAGAGCAAGCAGTTTGCAGTTTGCTGCATTTTGATAGTACAACCCAAGCTGTAAATGCTGGCGCCCAGCACATGGATGTATTCTATCAAAGTCATCATTGTCTATATGTTTCTTACCGCCTTGCTCTGCAGCTTTTGTCGCATTTCATCTTGCTGTGCTGGCTTCAGGCCGCTCATCTGCCCCTGCCAAGCAAAATGAATCCTTGCCACTTTCTTGATGACAGCACCTCCTCTCTTCACTGGCTGAACAACTTGAGAATCGGCCTTGAGGAGCTGACAAACTAGCTTCTCGCTATCCTTGATCTTCTGGGAAGGATTGTAGCCTGGAATAGTTAGCTAGCAAAGCCATCTCACCATCATGCTTGGCAGAAGTTGTCAAGCCAAGTTTCTGTCCAACCAAAGCAATGCTGCAGCAGTCGCCATCTCTTTAGCTTCAGCTCCTGCTTGGCCTTAACAGGATCATGCACTTCATTCACCAAGAAACCACCTAGTAAACTGTCACGTTACAATAAACCAGTATGAATCGGTTGCCTTGCCAACATCCTTAACGTCCTTTGCTTGGAGGAACAGCATGGTCTTGCCGATGAGGGGCAGGGCGCCGGGCGTCGCAAGTGGCTGCGCACTGCCTGGCGTTGCAAACTTCATGAAAAGAACAAAACAAAAGTCTGAAGTTTGCTGCAAATGCTCTTCATTGGAGTCTGAAACGGTGAAGTCTGTGGCCAAAGGACTCCTTTCAGGTCTTTTTTGTGCTGGAAGATTCTCCGTTGGACTGCTTCATCTTTGTTTAGATATGTTGGGGGGAGTCAATTCTAGAAGCCTTGAGGAATTGAGCCAGGCTTTGCAACTCGCAGCGTTTGTGTGCCCAGTGCGGTTTAGTGTAGGAGGTCTACTGTAGTGCGGTCTACGATATTTTGGTCAAGTTGTTCGTTTGTTTTTCAATCCTAGAGTGTCTGGACTCTGGACTGTGTGATTTGTTTCACGGCATGCACTGACGACATGCTGGAAAAGCCTGCCGGAACGTCAACGCTGCGTGATGAAGATCACCTGCTAGAAGCATCTCCTGAAGGGTCCACAGCCGCTTTAGAATCTTAGAACACGATAACGGCTGGGCTCACTTGGATCTCTCTGCACAAAGTTCCAAATTAAAGCTCCTGGGGTTTCAAAAACCGTCGCCTCCAGTGCAAATGGCCTGCCACACCCCCACGCACACACATCAGAAAAGTACGTGCGGTCTGAAGGCCACATGCCACACGGAAACCTAAGTGAAAATGTAATGCCTTAATAAACCAAGTAGTCTGCAAAACTAAAGCGGTCTAAACATCTTCAAAGGATCAAAAGGATCCGTTGAGTGCTGTCTCACAATCATGCCGCACTCCCCTGCAAGTTCAAGAACCAGAAGGCTCCCTATGATTCCAAGGGTTACAGACACGCACACACACATCAAGACAAGGCTGACAATGTGATGTACAGCATACCCATGCTGAGAGAATATGTCAGTCGAGAGAGAGTGCACCTTCAAGATTTGTTGCTTCTCGGATCTGTTGCCACATGCTGATCAACTCAGAGACCGGAAGCATGTCTGGCAGCATCCTGATGCAAACACAGGCTGGCGACTCATAATTTTTGAGTCCCCAGCAAAAATACTTTTCTATATATATATATATGTATACACTATTCTCATTTGTTCTCTGGGTACTCTGCAACTTCAATATTGTAATTATCAACAAACTCAGGAAGATTGTTCGTTTCTCTACCAGCTACCGTATAAGAGGATTTTTATATATGTTTACCATACATGAAGCTGGTGAAAGTGTGAGAGAGGCACAAAAAGATCAAAGAGAGAAGCAAAGAGAATGGGAGAGCGACGGTGTGGCTTGATCTTGTTTGAATCGGTTGTAAGAAGGCATCGGGCCTGTTGTGAACGAAGACTCTTCAAACTCGCTATGGATGGCTCCAGCTACTCAAAATGACTTAAACTTATTTAGCTCACAACCTCCTAAGTCCAAACTTTGTGGATGGCTGTTGGGAAGGAAATGAAACGAAACCAAGTGCTAAATGTCGATATGGAGAGACATGGAGAGACAAAACTTTCGATTTGCAGTTTTCTCAGTTTTCTCTGTATGCCGTTTTTCTGCAGAGAAAACAGGCTGGAAGCAGATTTGAGCGGAATATGAACAAAAATGAACAAAGCACTCACCATGGAAGCCTATGGAAGCCTGGGGGATCAATTAAGTCCGTCGGATGGCAAACAAGAACATTCAATACACACCAGTTCCTTCAATTCAAAGGAACAAAGGAGGCCCTTCAAAAGGCGAATAGACACATGGATGATCATAGATGGATGCAAAATGATGCGATCAGTGATACGTGTCTCAAGCGAACCTTGCTTGAAAACATATAGAAACACATGGAAACAGTTTTGTACAGCACGGTTCTATTGTGCCCTTGGATGTAGCAACATAATAGCTTGCTTAAATTCTGTTAAATTCTCCTAGCTTACTACCCAGCATCCCCCAAACGAAAGTAACAAGCCCTCGCCTCAACGAATCGCTCTGATTCGTGGCCTGAAAGAATGCAAAGTCCTTCCAGTGCTTGACACCAACTCTGCTCCCCATCAGGGAAGAAAGCTCTTTGAGAGTGGTAGCAACTGGAACGAACAAATTCCTCGGCTGCAAGCACTGCAAATTGACTGCAACTATTGATCACAAAGGCTCTGCAAAGGTGCAGCCGGTGTCTAGAGACTGAAAGCATACGTGTCAGAAACAACTGCCGCTGCGGCTGTTTGGAGCTTGAAGGGCAACAAGCAAATGTCTACAGCCAAGAGTCTGTGAAGAATTGTCCACTAAATGAACTAGAACACCAACCATGTCTCCTGATGTGTCTTCATCAAGTCGGCTAGGGAATGCGGCATCCAAGGCCTTCATGCGCAAAGTTTGCAAGCACAAGCCTTGTGAACCAAGCAAATGACAGGGGAATTGTTTTTTCGTTATGCTAACGGTTCTTTTTTTTATGCTGGATTTGGGTGGGTTCTTTTTTTTATGCTAACGGTCTTTATTTTTATGTTGAGGGTTTTTATTTTTATGCTGAGGGCTTTTATTTTTATGCTGAGGGTTTTTATTTTTATGCTGAGGGCTTTTATTTTTATGCTATCGAATGTAATTGTCGCGGGGCTTTATCGGAAAATGTAATTGTCGCGGGGCTTTAGTGGAGAATGTAATTGTCGCGGGGCTTAGTGAAGAATGTAATTGTCGCTGGGCTTTATTGGAAGGGCGGCGGCTCATCTGCGCACACACACTTTGTTAGCACTTGCGCCTCATCTGCGCACACAGATTTGACTCATGCGCGCACACAGTCCATCGGGGAGACTCAAGTGCGCACACAGGCCCTTTCCCGCATGTTTGCTCACTTACAAGGGTCGTCAAGATGGAATGGCCACTTCCTCCTCTAAATTTTACAGAAAACGACGTTATGCGGGTGTGGTTTTTACGCGTTTTTGTGATTTGTGGTTTTCTGTGTTTTTTTGAAAATGTTAGTTGTTTTGAAGAACGTGTCTAGCAAAAATGTCGACTTGTAATCTATCAAATTTCTCGTCAATCTGATTCAAACATACTAGTTCTCATTGATTCCCACACAGAAGTCCATCAACCATCATCTATCAGCAAGTCCACGACATCCCATCATACAACATCAGGTCATCACCTCTATGAGGGAGATCTGGTCTCCAAGACCTCCAATCTCAATCAGTCCTCAATCTCCAGCAACTGGGGCCTGGGCCTGGGCTTCTCTAGGGGGGGGGGGCGCCCAAAAAAAATATAAAAATTGGTTGTCCATTTCCAAGAGCAATTTTTTTTGGGGGGGCGGCGCCCCCCCCCCTAGAGAAGCCTAGGCCCAGGCCCCACTTGCTGGAGATTGAGGACTCATTGTCAATTCCACGAGCTGGAAGTGGCCCAGGTGCTAGAGATAGTCAAGATTATTGATTTCATTATAGCTACCTGTGTAAGAGTAGCAATTCCACCACAACTTCTTATATTCCTCTCGTCTGTTTGAAGACACAACTGTCTGCTCCTGCAAGCACTTGTATATACTGTAGGCTCTATGTGGTGAGGGTGGATACCTATACTGTATGGTCTCAATGATGGAGTGTGGAAGATTGTCTTGATTTGATGGCTTAAGATACCCAATGAAAGAGAGAGATGGGCATATAGCTAGAGAGCATAGGAAAATGGAACTTCCAATGTGGATGAAATGAGATGAGATGAGATGAGATGAAGCATTGGGTGCATCAAACAGCTGGCATTGGGGTTGTGGCTGTATGTATGCAATTTCATTTGAGACCAAAGGCGGCTGCATAGACGCAACACCTGCATGAGAGATTGGGATCCTGACTTTGAGCAAATTGTATTGCTATACAAGCCATTGAGCAAATGCCCCAGACAGCAGCGCAATATGGATGGCGCTTTGATTGGGTTTGTTTGGCCTCCAAGAGCACATGGGCACCATGTGAGAGGGAAACTTGCTAGGCAATCAATGAGGATGGGGTCCATGGAATGGGTTTGTGTGCATGGTTAGGTGGCCCAATGGAAGATCAGAACCATTTGGGTACAACATTGGTTATCCTCATGATTCATGCTATTGGTAGAGCATATTTTTGGCACAATTTATTGATTTACTTTTGGGTGGGTGTTGGTGAGGTCCAATGAGGTTTTGAGCTTAGGTGGCATCGCGAGAATGTCCTTGGCAATGTTGGGTGAATATTGGGAGCATGCTGAGCATGCCAGGTTTGGTACAACCTGACTTCATGTATGTCTATGTGTGGGCAAGAAGGTTAGGGTGAAGAGAAGGTAGCCTTGGGAATGAGTAGTGGCCACACAGCCAATTCAGACCCTCAGTGTATCTAAGGCTGGATCGTTCCATGGGCTTCATAAGATTCTTTGAAAGATTTCGTCATAGATGGGGGGATATGGAGCATAGATCTGAAGAGCCATTGGGTGAGAGCAGTGGAGATGAGCAGGATTGGTCCAATCGAACTTGTGGGGTAGGATGTGAGCTCCCAAGTGACCCTGAGAATGAGGATGAGGCTTATTATGGGTATGGACGTCAAGAAGGCCATGCAAAACCCAAGTCCAATCAGTCATCCGGGTCCAGTACTACTAAGCAAGTTTCTCAACTTTTGTTGGGCGTGGTGGGCACATTGTGTTTCAAGATAATGATCTTCTCTCCATTTCATAAAGAATGTGGAGGGAGAAGCCCATTTCATAAAGAATGTGGAGGGAGAAGCCCAAAAAGTGCTACCTTTGAAACAATGAGAATGCTTATGGGCAAGGAAGGGTAGAGTTGGATCCAGAGGTTTTTTAAACAAGAAAAGTTGGTTTTGTTTAGGAAACAGGAGCACAAGAACATATCTAGACTATAACCATGGAAACTCTGACTAAACATGACAAAATCTAAGAAAAACACAACAAAAGCACGTAAAAACCACACCCGCATAACGTCGAGCTCTCAAATTTTACCCCTCCAGTGGCTCACCAAAGGGTGAGTCAACTTGGAATGACCACTTCCTTCTCTAAATTTTACCCCTGCCTTGCCCACAAG